CAAGTCCTGAATCGTGCTCTCTGCTCAGCAGGGAGCCTGCTTCCTTCTCCTTCTCTCTCTGCCTGCCTCTCTGCCTACTTGTGATCTGTCAAATAAATAAATAAATATCTTAAAAAAAAAAAATCTATCTATCTATCTATCTCCATAGCAGAGCAGAAAAATTTAAACACCTATATAGTGGGGATGCCCATCTTTACTAATTGTAATGAGGTCTAAAGATTTGAAGATCTCTTAGCGGAACAAACACTTAATAGTCTTGCTGCTGTTGAGCAGTTTCTAGTAAATTTGCCAACAGCCAGTCTGCAAACAATCTTGCCTTTTAAAGATTCCGAGTGATCCCACTGTAAGCCCTACTCCTCATTTTGCAAGTTAATCATTTTTGTCTTTAGAGGTAATTTTTCTAAAGTAATTCTCAGCAAAAAACCACAAACAAAAGCCCATGTCTGAGCTACAGTATTATAGCAATTACTTCTTTCTAAAACTTTATTTCTAAGTGTTAAAATAGTCATTTATTCAAAGCAACAAAACACAAATTGTACTGTCAAAATAATGTTAATAACAATGCACAGGAAATAGCAAAACTGTCAAATAGATTATTGTAGCTTTCTGAAGCATTTTTTTAAAAACCAAATATTCACGATTTATAAGTAAATAAACTAAATAAGAACTTTTAAAAAGCACAGGCTAAATCTAAGAAAAGCATTTGTTACCCATCTTTGCAAGAAACTCATTATTAACATTACATTCTTACACTTCTGTTTTTAAAGTGGTCCAGGTATAACTGGGTGTCAAGAAAGCATTGGCACTTCTGGGAGTCATAGGTGTGACTTGATAGGTCTTCAGGCCATCCAGTGGCTGAAACATAAAATCCTGAGGTGCAAAGGAATTCTTCCCTTTCATTTTTGCAGTGTTTGTCTTCGGTAAGTTCTCCATCTTTGGTAAGATTCCATCTGGATCCATTCTCTTTGTTGCACTGGTTTGTGAACCCAAAGTATCTTCTTCACTATCGACTTTGAAAGAAACAACCTAGTTGTGAATAAAGAGAAGAGAGTGAGAATTCCTCTTCTGGGGATACAGTTGACCAATTCTTACAGGACTGAAAATTGGAAGCTGAGATATATGTCCCACAAACATAATTTAAAGAGACGAAAACAAACACAGTGAAATGAATACATGGAATCATAAGACCACCTGCAATAAACCATTACTATGATCCAGAAAGAGAGAGAACCAGTCTTCGTTATAGGAATAAATAGGTTTTAGGTGTTACAACACATTAAAATATATGAAAACTAAGGTGGAAAAATTAACTCACCTAACAAATACAGACTTCTTTTTACTTAGATTATGCTGATAATTACAATAGTTTCAGAATCAGAAATCCAATGTTTATTAGATGACTACTTCTGTCAAGTACCAAATCCTTTTTGCAAATAATCTTGATTATAAATAACCTTGTCATATGAGCAAAATTATTTTTCAGTGTTACACAGTAAGATGAACCATATAAAATGTGAAGCATATCTTCTTTTTCAAGTCAATTTAATTTTTTTTCACTTGAGATATAAATTAACATATAACATTACATTAGTTTTAAGTATATAACATGATTCAATATTTGTATATATTGTGAAATGATCACCACAGTAAGTCTAGTTAGTACCATACATAGTTATAGAGTTTTGGTTTTTTTTGTTTTTTAAGATTTTATTTATTTATTTGACAGAGAGAGAGAGATCACAAGCAGGCAGAGAGGCAGGCAGAGAGAGAGGGGGAAGCAGGCTCCCCGCTGAGCAGAGAGCCCGATGCGGGCCTCGATCCCAGGACCCCGAGATCATGACCTGAGCCAAAGGCAGAGGCTTAACCCACTGAGCCACCCAGGTGCCCTAGAGTTTTTTTCTTGTGATGAGAACTTTTAAGATCTACTCTCTTTGTAACTTTCAAATATGCAATATGGAATTAACTACAGTCACCATGTAATATGTTACATCCCAGGACTTACTTGTTTTGTAACTGGAAGTTTGTACCTTTTGACTTCCCCTCATCCATTTCACGTAGTCATTTAAATATAATTTTTAGAAGATTCTGATTTTCGACAAGATATGAATGGGAACCAGAGTATTTCAACCTGGACAAGAATTTAAGGGTGACAATGTCCCTGAGGCCAACATGGCAGTGAAAGTAAAAACCTAGGTTAACCCTTATGGAGGAAACCAATCTTATGGGAAGAACTATGAGATCCACCTGCTTGCTTACGAAGGTTTATCCTATACTGCCTTCCTTGGAGGAGCTAAGTTTGATTCTTATGAGAATCTAGCCAGGTTTCTTACACTCTGGCAAAACTTTTATTTTTAGGGTTAAGGAATTATAACGTGGATCATAAGCCAAGGAATTGGGTCCTCAAATTGGTGACTCTTTTTTGAAGATTCTACTAGGCTCTACGCTAGATGCTGTCAGAAATTTAGCTTATTTCATGGGACACCTGGATGGCTCAACCTGCTAACCATCTGCTTTCAGCTCAGGTCATGATCCTAGGGTCCTGGGGACTCCTTGCTCAGTGGGGAGCCTGTTTTACCTTCAGCCTGCTGCTCCCCCAGCTTGTGCTTTCTAACAAATAAATAAATAAAATCTCTAAAAAAAGAAATTTGTGTTACTTCATTTTTTTTTTAAAGATTTTATTTACTTATTTGAGAGGGAGACAGCACGAGCAGGAGGGGCAGAGGGAGAGAAGGAGAGAGAAAACATCTCAGTCTCCACACTGAGCATGGAGCCTGACACAGGGCTCAGTCCCAGGATCCTGAGATCATGACCTGAGCTGAAACCAAGAGTCGGATGCTTATCTGACTGTGCCACCCAGGTGCCCCAGATTATTTCATTCTTAAAACTACTTCATGTAAAGTATTGCATGTTAGAGATGGGAAAACAAACTCATAACTTGCCCAAGGTTATCTAGCTAACTGGAAGCAGAGACAATATCCAAAGTCATGCCTAAATGAATCCAAAGTCAATATATTTCAGCCTACTCTATCTTATCTCTTAGTGAATTTCCATGTGAAGGTTTCTGTCAGCTGCGTTATTATATTTATCTCCCATTAACCAAATTATGCTTTCTCTAGCTATAAAACTCTGAGGATGTAATACTTGAAAGACAACAACAGTAAATCCTTTTGATGCTTCTTAATGGCTCAAGACGTTTTAACACACATGTAGTTTAACCCTCTTGAAACAGTTCGGTATGCTTAATTTCAGCTTTATGAAAATAACAATAAGATTTTCAAAGTATCTAGAAATAAATAGGTGTTTATACTTTACCTTGTCAGGTTTTGTTTCTATCTTTTTGGCAGGTCTTCCTTGATTTTGTGTCTTTCTTTCTGTTTCATTATCTAAAATAAAAGTGAAATAAGACAGCTATTTTGACTAGATAGAAAATGCTGCTTTTAAAGGATCAGGTAATTTGGAAAAGGAAAAAAGGCAACAAGAGGAATGTATATCTTAAAGGATTTTTTGATAAAGAGTCATAAATGAGATAAAAACAGATGAAATTTCCCGCCAAGTATAGGCCATCTGTTTTCAAAACAAAACCAAGGTGTCAAGGTATTTTACTTTTGCCTCTGACTACCAAATACCTATTTGTTATAGAAAATTAGGAAAATAAAGAAAAGCACAAAAACCCCACAAAATTAAAAAAAAATAACCCAAGGGGCGCCTGGGTGGCTCAGTGGGTTAAAGCCTCTGCCTTCAGCTCAGGTCATGATTTCAGGGTCCCAGGATCAAGCCCCACATCAGGCTCTCTGTTCAGCAGGGAGCCTGCTACCCTGCCCCCCACCACCTGCTGCTCTGCCTACTTGTGATCTCTGTCAAATAAATAAATAAAATCCTAAAAAGCAAAAACAAACCCAAGATTACATTACTCAGTAACAATCACTGTTGACACTCTAGGATATATTTTTCCAGTTTTATCCTAGGTTCACATATTCACGTACATATTTTAGGACTGTGATCATACTGCTCAGAATTTGATCTGTTATTCTTTGTGCACTTAATCTATTTTACTCTTTCATAACACTGTTCTTTGATGTTTACATTGTATTTCGCCAAATGGACGGGTTCTAACTTATTTGGGTTATTCATTTCTCTCTTTGAAGCGCTGCTAACACCCGATCAGGTACTTCCATCTTTGAGCACCCACTGTGTGTAGTTGGCTGCTGAGGCATGGAAACTACCTTGGGAACTGGAATCTCCTATTTCTTTGCCTCTTATCCAGAGTTGTACATGATGATTTTTAAAACTGAACCCAAAAGCATCAAAGACCAAAACATCCTAGAACAGCCATTGATCAAGAAATAGTTCTTACCATTAGTAGCTCTTGCGACTGGCTTTTCTGTTGTAGTAGAGGAGACTGTTCTGGCAATCTGCTTTGCTGCCTGAGTGGCTGAACGAGTCATTCTCATGGATGTGGTCATTACAGTCTGTGTGACTATGAGAAAAAAAATAACCAAAATCAAATGCTTGCTGCTATTATTAAATTACTGTTGTGGTAACATCAGAGCTTATTAAGATATATAATATAATAACTGCTAAATTCCTACCTTTTTTCTCTTTGTCCAACACTTTTCTTTCAGAAGTTTGTCTCTGACCAGGTCGGATTGTTCGAACATCACTCCCATTATTAATCTATTTAAAAGATTAGGTGCTATGTGATTTAACTGCATAATGAATCAAATTGCCACTTTTTTGGGGGGGCTGTGTTCCAAGTCATTTTATTCATTCAACCGTACAAAGACTCCCAAACATCTCTGCTACCCCCACCTTCTTCTGAAGAAGAGTGGAGTGAGAGGGAGAGAAGGATTGAGCAAACCCCATCCCCCCAGGGGTCACTTACAAAAGGGGGAAATGGGGAAGGGGGTAGACATCCTAAAAATAGCAATGAATAAATGAGGGGCAACAGAACCACAAACACAAGGCTGAGGCAGTGCCAGGGAGGGCGGTGGGGGTGTGGGGTGGATATGGAACTCTTCATGAATTTGCATGCATCTTGCTGCAGGGGCCAAGCTAACCTTCTCTGGATTGTTCCAGTTTTAGAGTATGTGCTCGGGAAGTAAGCACTCAAATTGCTACATATTTTATCTGTAAATTGACCCATATCTCAAGTCTGTTTATTGTAAATGACCTGGCAAAAAATCTACTTCCCCAAATAAAATGAGATGAAGAAAAAAGGTTTGCATTATACAATGGAAATTTTCCTCACAGCTTCTTTAGAATCTTAGACTTTAGAAAATGCTAATAAGGGGCACCTGGGTGGCTCAGTGGGTTAAAGACTGCCTTCAGCTCAGGTCATGATCCCAGGGTTCTGGGATGGAGCCCTGCATCAGGCTCTCTGCTCAGCAGGGAGGCTGCTTCCTCCTCTCTCTCTCTGCCTGCTTGTGATCTCTTTCTGTCAAATAAATAAATAAATTCTTTAAAAAAAGAAAATGCTAATAACCTGAGTTATTAAAAATAGCTGTCTATAATCTTCTGAGAATCCTTAAACATACCAGGCATGTTTTCACTTCAAGACCTTTGAATTGTGTCTAGAAACTTCTTCTGGATAGAAAGCTCTTTCCCATGGTTCTCTCTTCCACTCCTTAAAGACTTCACTCAAGATGCCACCATCTTAGCGAGGCCCTACTTGACTGCCCCAATCAAAATTCCACCTGACACCCACTCTAGTACTCCCCTTCTCCCTTCACTCTTTTTTTTTTTCACCTCCTCTATAATACTTACAACCATCTGACCTGCTATATACTTGTTTTTTTTAATTGTCTATCTCACATGTAAGCTCAATGAAAACAAGGAATTTTGTTCATTTTGTTCACTACTATACCCTAGAGAGAAATGGGTAGACTCAAATGTTATTGAATACATGAAATTCAGGTTCCTCACCTGATGAAGAGGCATACTATTTTCTTCCTTGCCCACATCCCTTTATTTTAGTAATCATCTTAATAACTTCAGTCACATGGTGTTTTGAAGACCTGTAAGTTTATAACACCCACCCTAGGTGCTCTATTTTTATATCCCTATCTATATTTTATGATGACATAACAGAATGCATAACAGTAGCCCAGTAAACAAAAGAGTGTGGCATAAGGTTTAGCATACATCTCAGAAGGGATGTCATGCAAAGATATTTTCGGTGAGTATTTCCTTAGTAGCCAAGACGGTTTTATCACCATAACAATAATACAGATTTTGGTACCATTAACTCTAGCAAATTAATCACCACATTTAAAACTGGTATTAGATTAAAAACTAATTTATTCTGAGAAGAAAAGTACAATTTGTCATCTTTGTAACAATTACCTACTAACTGTCAACTCTACCTTAGTCTGCTCCATTTGGTCTTTGGCCTTTGACCTTGTAATCCGTTCAGAAGATGGAACAGCCTTAAAACAGTCAAAGAAAATAAAGTTAAAAAAATGAATTGGCAAAAGTTTAATTTCATGTCTCTCTTGAAATAAAATTTCCATTTTAAAGTTAAATTTTATCCTTGATCATTTATGGCAAAAAGATACTTGCCAACTTGAATTCCTATTTTTTCTGGTTTTGGCTTGGCTTAAAGTACATTTAAATTAGCAGCTTCAAAACTCATTTCTCGGGGTGCCTGGGTGGCTCAGTGGTTTAAGCCTCTGCCTTCAGCTCAGGTCATGATCTCAGGGTCCTGGCATTGAGCCCCACATCAGGCTCTCTACTCAGCAGGGAGCCTACTTCTCCCCCTCTCTCTGCCTGCCTCTCTGCCTACTTGTGATCTCTCTCTCTGTCAAATAAATAAATAAAATCTTAAAAAAAAAAACAAAAAGCTCATTTCTCGGTGAGCTGAAAGAAGAAATTTCAAGCCATATTTTCCAGGTATTTGAACCCTCATTAATAAGATTTGCTGGACATATTCAGAAGGGGGTAGATGAACAGACTAGAGTATTAGGATCTTTTGTTTTCTGTTTAATGAAAAGATATTATACAGCTTACTCTCCCAGCTTTTACAGTTTGCCTTCAAGCCTCATGATTATGCATTTCTCCACTGTCAATAAGAAAATGGACACTTGATCACAAAATGTGGAAAAAAAATCTAGCATGAGAAAGACTGATTAAAAAGTGGCAAGATAATTTGCGACAACGTGGATGGAACTAGAGGGTATCATGCTTAGCGAAATAAGTCAATCAGAGAAAGACAACTATCATATGATCTCCCTGATATGAGGGAGAGGAGATGCAACATGGGGGGTTAATGGGGTAGGAGAAGAGTAAATGAAACAAGTTGGGATTGGGAGGGAGACAAACCATAAGTGACTCTTAATCTCACAAAACAAACTGAGGGTTGCTGGGAGGAGGGGGGTTGGGAGAGGGGGCGTGGGGTTATGGACATTGGGTAGGGTATGTGCTATGGTGAGTGCTGTGAAGTGTGTAAACCTGGAGATTCACAGACCTGTACCCCTGGGGAAAAAATAAATATATGTTTATAAAAAATAAATAAATAAATAAAAAATAAAATAAAATAAAAATTTAAAAAAAGGCAAAAAAAAAGTGGCAAGATATTTATCAACTCTGTAAAAAAAATTTTTTAAGAGATTTTATTTATTTATTTAACAGAGAAAGGTATCACAAATAGGCAGAGAGGTAGACAGAGAAAGGGGGAAGCAGGCTCCCTGTTGAGCGGAGAGCCCGATATGGGGCTCGATCCCAAGACCCTGAGACCATGACCTGAGCCAAAGGCAGAAGCTTAACCCACTGAGCCACCCAGGCACCCCAATTCTATAAATTTCTTAAACATAATCAGATTTCTCTCTTAGATAAGAAGTAATTTTCTTCCCTAAATCTCAGGGAAAATTTAGTGCTAAAGAAATTATGCCCTTCTCTAGATTGCAGGGCCACCAGAATTCAACAGTGACCATCTAAATAAAATTTAAAAAAATTATTGGTGAATCTTATTACTTAATACTGTGATGGGTCTCTTGTTCCCAATACACACACTATAATATATCTATTTCCTTAAGTTTTTCATTTTATTTCCAGCATAGTTAACATACAGTGTTATATTAGTTTCAAGTATATAACACAGTGATTCAACAATTCCATATATCATTCCGTGCTCATCATGACAAGTGTGTTCCTTAATCCCCATCACCTGTTTGACCCCCTCCCCTCACCCACCTCTCCTCTGGTTACTATCAGTTTGTTCTTTAGAGGTAAGAGTCTGCTTCTTTGTTTGTCTCTCTTTCTCTCTCTTCCTTTGTCCATTTGCTTCCCCTTACATATATTTTTAACATTTTTAAATAGTTGTCTATAGTTTAGACCAATGATTGGTATCCTATCTCGAAAAGTCAGCTTAAATCTAATCCCTTCTAGGTCTTCTTTGACGTTCCTCCAAACATAAATAATCTCTCCCTCCTCTGATATATAGAATATATTTATTTATATCATCCTACCTAAACACTATTGTATTGATTTTGGGTCCCTTCCCCCTTATCCTAAGGTCATACACAGATAATAATCAAAAAATCAAAGATCATTTAAATAAATCAATGAGATGTGTGAAAGCCCAGAAAAATAGGCAGTATTCAATAGGTTTTTATGTTATTCAATTTGTATTTAAATCAGGAATGAGTACACAGTCTAAGATCTTTTATACTTATCTTTAAAATAGCACATCACCAGCGACTACCTAAATTACAAATCCCACTGCCCCGGTTCAAATTTCATCCTTCCTGACTCACTGACCATTTCTTTAGATCACCCCTCCCTCTGTGCAGGGTTTCAGTACTCCAGCCACTCAGACCAGTCCTCCTCAGTCACTCACTGGAACCTGACTTCTGCCCACTTTTTTCCTATCTCAAGAACCTATAAACTACATCAACAGACCTGATTTTCATCTTCTGAGTTACTATTATGTCATTCCCACCCCCCTACCAACTAGTCACATGAGTAAAGAGAGTTAGGAGAAGTGGTTATTCTAGTTTTTTAATCTCTTAAAGAAAATTCCAGTTAAAAGAACTATTGCATCAAATAAGGATAATAAATTTACCTTTCTTAGCTCAGCTTTCATAGTCGTCTGGTTTGATAACAGAAAACAAGGCATATCAGGTCTATAAAGACCCACTTTAAATACTCCTCGTTTAGCTTTCTCTCTCTGCTCTTTCAATTTCTGAAGCTGCTTTTCTTCTTTATATTTTTGGAGCATTTGTTTTCGTTGATCACCTAGAAGAGTTTTCACTGACCCTAGGTAGAAAAAACCCACAGTATATAATACATTTCAGAAAAAAAGTTAGGCAAATGTCTAACTTCTAACTTCAACTGCTGTTAAGAAATGCTTTCAGTAACTTTTGTTAATTCCTTAGCACTCAAACAAGTTATTTCAACCTCTATTCTTTTAAAATTTATATTTCTTTTGCTTTTGTCTTTTCAAATATTTATTAACTGCTTGCTACACAGTAAGCATGCATTACTTCACTTTTGAATTAATGTGCTTGTATGATAGCCACCCTCCAAGCTGACCCCAGTGATTCTCACCTCCTGGTGATGATGCCTGCATGTCATCCCTTCCCACACTCAACAGGGCTGGCCTGGTTACCAACAACATACCGTGAAATGATGGTTTTGGCTCCCAAGACTAGTCATTATAGACACTGAAATGTTTGCCTTGGCCCCTCTTGGATCGCTTGCACTGGAGGAAGCCAAAGGCCTTGTAGAATCTTAAGGGGACTTGAATGGCCCTATAGAGATGTCCACATGACAAAGTTCTAAGGCCTCCTGCCAGAAGCAAGCATCAACTTGCCAGTCATGGGAGTGAGTCATCTTGGAAGCAGATCACCCAGTCTGAGTCAAGCCTGCAAGATGCGTCCCTGGATGACATCTTGACCGTGACCTCCAGCACAACCCATTTAAGCTGCACCCAAATTCCTGACCCACAGCAACTGTGTGAAATAACAAATGTTGATATTGTTTTAAGCCACTAAGTGTTAGATTAATGAATACCCAATATTAGGGCTACTTGTCAGTTTCTTCAGCTCAACTTGGGTTTCCACCTACATACTGTTTACTTTAACTGGTTTGGGAAGGAGAAGAGGCTATGT